TTTACAACCACTCATCTTCCATCTTGTAAACAACCTTTATAAACAACCCCAAATTCACATTCACCCAAAAGATTACTGTCTAAAAAAATATTCGTAGCATCGGTTAATTCTTTATATGTAAACAATGACTTCAAATTGCCTAAACCGTCAGGTTCTGCCATTATTGGTAGTGAATGCACAAAATCACTTTTGAAACTAATTCCAATGAGAGGAGCTGAATATTGTGTCTTTGTATAAGATGAATTTATAAACATGTAATATTGATCAAAAAACATAAGATCCAATTACATATAAATTGAAAATTACCAATAATTTCTTAAGCAACTGAATAAACTAAAATGAAGCTGTGAAAAAATCTACATGATCTTGGGAAGAGCCTAGTGGGCATGGCATTACATAACTCGGCGATGAATTATATCGCCGACGGTTAGTTCGATGGTTGTTATTGGGATGAATATGTAAACTTATATAAATTAAGTGTTCCAATCATAAAAAAATAAAAAATCCTAAAATAATTATAATTTTAATAAAAACATAAATTAATTATATTCTTATTAAATTTAAATTAAATAATAATAAAAGATTAATTATGAATAAATCATTATATATTTTTTAATATTTATTTAATAAAGTCAATTTAATTAGTAATATACATCAATGTATCACGTTAATAGTATATTTCAATATTAGACGTACACTCTAAATTCATCCTAATATACGTGTATTTTTTTAAATACTTCCAGATACGCCCACGTTAATTTTTCCCGAAGATTCATTGCGTTAGAGAATCCAGTTCTACATAATCCAAGAGATCCAATTATAATGTACCATTCAAAGCAAAACCAACGAGAATCCAATACTTATTCGACGAATATCACATTATATTTTCTCTTTCCTTCGCCAATCCCGACCAAAACATATATAAATACAAAAGAAAAAGCTGCAAAACAAAAAGAAAACAAAGATCTCTTCCCCATTCCCTCTCTTTTATCAATCCATACTCTTTTTCTTTTATCTTCTCTCTTGCTTTACCAACTTAACTCTCTTCCATGGCAGCACCGATCTCAAAACCAGCATTGTTCTTCTTCCTCTCATTGCTGATAAACGCCTTCTCTTTTGCTCGAGCGCAGAGCTGGTGCGTGGCTCGGAGTGATGCGAGTAACCAGGCTCTGCAAACTGCACTCGACTATGTATGCAGCTTCGGTGCCGACTGCAACCCTATACAGTCCGATGGGCTTTGTTTTCTTCCGAATACCATCCAGGCTCATGCTTCTTATGCTTTCAATAGCTATTATCAACGTCGAGCAATGGCTCCTGGTTCATGTGACTTTGCCGGCACCGGCACTGTTGCTAAAACTGACCCCAGTTTGTTCTTTAGAAACCCTTCAAGTTTGTTTTTTTTTTTTCATTTTTTTTCTTATTTCGTTGGTTTTTTTTGTAGGTTATGGATCTTGTATGTACCCATCTTCTCAAAGGTATGTGTTTCTTTTTTCTCTTGAATTATGAAAAGAAAGAAACATTGTTCCATTTCCTTGTTCTTTTTGCTTTTGTTTATTAATGGGTGGCTTTAGAAGGAATTTGGTCTAATTTCTTGAGTTTCACGCATTCTTTCGATTACAGTCACTAGTACTGGTAAATAGTAATAATATAACAAAGTTGAATCAAATCTTCATAAGCAATATGGCCTTTGATTACAGTAACTAGTAATCAATGGCTAATACAAAATTTTATGATGGACTATAAATTTCTAGAAAATATATTAGAAATTGAAGGGTGTAAAATTATAAATTTTCAGACATACAAAATTAGATTATAAAAAAATTAAAAAATACTTAAATTATATAAAAATTTAAAACTTTTAAAGAGTGCGACTACTCTCGCTTAATCTATCCATTCAAGTAATGGAGTTACCTTTGGGTGCATTGGGTTAATGTTGTTAATATTGGTCAGGTGTAATGTACATGAATTTTTGGTTTTGAAGTATTTTGATCTTAATATTTTTATTTTAGGAACAAAAAATCATTATCGTTTGACTAAATAATTAGTTTAATCATTATTGTTTTTAGTATTTTAGCTCATAACGTTTCATTTTAGAGAAAAAAACTTTATTTTAGAGCATTGAGAGTTTGTTGAGTAACTATTTCCAATCAGAATCTTTTTACCTAACATAAAACATTAAGAGGCAAAATACTTAAAAAAATAGGACTAAAACGACTATTTAATCAATGTTAGAGATATTTTTTGTCATTATGCCTATTACTCAACATGTTGCTTAATATGTTGCTCTATAATCATCTGTAGTTCTTGTCTCTGCTCTTTTGTGATTTTAACAGCTTGGAGTCATGAAATTTCTAGGTCGGCCGGAGGGATTGCTACACTGGGGTCGGGGTCACGGAACAACCCGAACGTACCAACGACGACCACGACAAGTGCCCCGATCACTAGCGGAGATGGCGGTGCTGGGATAAATAACCATGGACTGACCCCTCCATTTCCAACAACAGAAGAATCTAAAGCTTCATTAGATGGCATAGTCACCACAAGCTCAACGTTCACCATGCTCTTACTTGTTATATCATTTATTTTCCACCCAGTATGGAACTTTTAAACCATGATGGGAAGAGGCGTTTTGTTAGAAGTTTGAGCCTTCTTTCTTAGCTTTGAATAAAATCATTCAATTTTATCCATAAGAACCTAAATTAAATATCTGCAGCATAATCAGGCTGCATGTCCCAGCAGAATTTACCAGGTGCTAAACCTGATGTGAAGTTAAACGCACAAAATCCACCCGTAAATTTATTCGGAGTCTTTGACGGTAGCTCGTCGGCATGTGTTATCACCATTTTCTCTCCGTTGCCGCCATCACCGACCGTGATATGAACAGAACCGCAAGGATCAGAGTTGAAATCATATACCCGGTTCGACTTCTCATAGGTATGAGCCTGGTGGTTATTGCCAAATGAACACACAAGCCATCAGTTGTCCAAGTGCACCCTCGGTGCTGTGTATGTGTTTTACCACGGAGGATGTCGTTTCGCGACCAGCCACAGAGTCACTTTTCAATCGACTTTCGCAAGGTCCGTCTTCAGCTACAGGTATTGATCCTCTGTTGAAAGAACACAGAGGTTAGCTCCCATGGCACTCGGTTATTGATCCTCTGTTGAAAGAACACAGAGGTTAGCTCCCATGGCACTCGGTTATTGATCCTCTGTTGAAAGAACACAGAGGTTAGCTCCCATGGCACTCGGTTTTACGGATGAGTACTTGATACAGGGTACTTATTTGACACCAATACACTAATTAGTCCCTCTGAACTCACCTGCATTAAAAGAATAATAGAACATCGACGACGTTCCGTTTTCTTCTGATGGAAATGCAAATCGAGTACTATAAGCTGCATAAGCCTTCTTCACGATCTGTTCTGCAATCCCGTCAAGGGAACGTTGGACATCAGAGGTTGCATAAATCTGACACATCAAGTAGACGCACTGGTTAACAACACGAGAGGTCGGGATGATGGCTCATCGGGTGACCGATTGTTGAAGTTGTATTATACGTAAGCCCCCCAAGTCTACGGCGATTACGATTCTTGCCAGATAACTCCTTGGACCGGATGCCGGCATTGTTCTGAAACAATGAACATCGCTCATTGCTGGGACTGATGGTTCTCTCCACATTGATAGTAATTCAAGGTGTTGGGTATCAAACATGTAGAGTTTCAGTTTGGTATAACATGTTACCTGATAACTGTTAAGATCACTAAAATATAATTAAAATATAATATACGAAAATTTCAAGGTTAATGTATTTTTTTGCCCCTGAACTTCGTAATGCAATTTAATTTAGTACCTTTTTTTCAGAGTTAGTATTTGAATTTGACAATTTTTTGAAATTTGGTCCTTAAATTTGATTTTAGTCCTTTTGATGACATAATGCTTTCAGATTGTACCACATTATCACAATATATAATATGGTACAATGAGTTAGATATCAATAATTTTAAGGATTAGAAAGATTTTTTATTTCGATCTAAATTAATTGATCAATAAATCAAATACCAATAATTCTATAAAAAAAAAACTAATGTAATTAACCAGTAGATAGAAGGAAGTTTCAAACTAACAATATCTTTTTTGGTACCAATTTGAAAACTAAGATACCTAATGTGTAATTAACCCCAACTTTAGTTAACTTATCTAGTGTGAGGCTCAAAAGGCCCCATCCTGAAATTACTCCTCTCTATTATACATTCAAAACCCAAACAAAGGCCCATTTGATAGATACATAATTGTTTTGGTAAAATTCTCTTTTAGTCCACGTACTACAAGTAAGTTTTGTATTTAGTCTATATTCTTTAATTTAGTATTTTTATGTATTTTTTTAATAGTATGAGTAATTAAAATGTAATATTTATTTAAAATCTTTTTTAATCATTGATAGCGAACACACCTTGCAGATACAATTACTCGAATTCGAAATCTCTAAAGAAAATTAACACCTCTTTCACTTAGTATTTTTTCATGTACTTTTTAATTTTATATTTTTCATTGTAGTTTATTATTAGTTTATTAGTTTTTATATTATGTGTAAGTTATCAATATTTTTGTTTCTCAATTTAATCATTTTGGATCCTTACAATTTAGTCTCTTTATTGTTTAAATCAGAACTGAAATTTTAAAACTTAAAAATATAAGATTTGAAATTGGAATCCATCAAACAATCTTTGTAGTTAAAAGGAGTATTTTTCTTCTCAGAGATGTCAACTTCGAATAACTGTATTTGCAACATGTGTGCATTATCAATGACCGAGAAAAACTATGAATAAATATAACAGTGTAATCACAACGTACTATTAAAAAAATGAAATTGAACCAATTAAAGTACACTAAGTTAAAAACTTATAAACAGTATAGTGAGTAATGACAGGATTTGACCTTCCTTTTTTCCCCCTCATTTTCCTGCCTTCTAGAAAAGAGTAAATAGTTTCACGGGGAAAAAGAGAGGGATTCCGAATGAGTAAATAATCTTTTGGATCAATCCGAGATCCTTTTTTTTCCTCCCAGAAATAAACTTTTCCGGTTGATTAGCACACTGAAAAAAGAAGGGAAAACAATCAAATTACATTTTGTTTTATTTCATTTCATATTTTGAGAAATATTGGGTAGAAAGACAGGTGAAGATGAATATATTCAGATTAGCAGGGGACATGACCCATTTACTTAGTGTTCTTGTTTTGCTTCTCAAGATCCACACAATCAAATCTTGTGCTGGTACGTTCATTTTCCTAATATTTACTTTATTTATATGGGTTCAATTCATTTTATTTTCTACTTTTTTCCAGTAATTTACTGCATAAGATGAAAAGAATCAATATTTAGTTAAATTGTTTGTGGGTTTTTGTTAATTTATTCTGTTCTCTGAATTGTTTAACATTTCATTGAATACCGAAATCGTAGTCATGTAAAATGATGAACTATAGCTTGCTAAAAATGCGGCATTTTTCGTATGCCTGGAATTTAAAATCTTGTATTTTCTAAGTTTATTTCTGCTAATTTGAATTTATATGTTCATTTGAAGTTTAGAAGAATATATTTTAATTTGAAATTTACTTTGTTGTTGGATTTAGTTACACTGTTGAGTTCAAGGGGTTTGCTGATTTTGGTTTTCTTTCAATTTGTAAAAATAAATCTCTAAGGGTTTGAAGTTTCTAATGAGTGTTTATCACGCGTTGGAAGTTTTATCGAAATCGATATGCTAATTACACTTTGTGGGAAATTTAAGTAAGTGGCTTTATGTCTTGCTGGCCTATGTTTTGAGACGAAAATGATTGTCGGTATATGATGAGGGCCTTAAACTATAACCACAGCTGATATAGTGTTTTCTTCTCACCCTATTACAAGCTGATTTGAGGCAGCAATGCTACCTAAAGTTTTATTTGCTTGATCAAGTTGATTGTTTACATTTGCACAACTACCTTGTTGGATATTTTTTCTTCACTTTAAAATGATACTGTGAGGTGCGATGGTTGGAGAATTCATGGGTGGATAAAACCATTTACTTTCTGGAAATGAAGCTGTTATAGAATTTAGAGAAGCTATCAATTGAGGATTCAGTGAGCAAAAGCTTGCAAAGATTAAGTAGCTATATGCTTATGGAGGTTCTACCACATTCCGATGGAGTATTTGGACCTTTTTCTTCGTAAATTGCATATGTATAGATATGCTTATAGCATTCAACCATGATTATTGTTATAGGAAGAAAAGATATAGCATGTAATGGAACTCTAAAAGTAGGAATCCTATATGCTTGTATTCATTCATAGACATGCCACAACATTTGATTTAAAGGGAAAGATTTGATTGTGTCTCACACTACCTGTCATGTCTTATGAGCTGTTTTCTGACTCTAAATCTTTTTTCTATAATATGTCGTCCTATACTTTTTGTGCAGGAATTTCGCTGAAGACACAGGAACTCTATGCTGTTGTCTTTGCTACTCGTTACTTGGACATATTCACTAGTTACATCTCACCATATAACACAATGATGAAGCTAATATTCCTGGGAAGCTCTTTCTCAATCGTATGGTACATGCGATATCACAAGATAGTTCGTAGATCTTATGATAAGGACCAGGATACATTTCGGCCTTATATCCTAATGCTGCCTTGCCTGATTCTTGCCCTTCTTATAAATGAGAAGTTCACCTTCAAGGAGATATCAACATCCTTTTTCCTGTTTGTTGGAGAATATAACAACCATTTCCGTATAGTCATTACAATCATGATTCTATACGTTAAATTCGTTGCGGTTGTCTTAGAAGCTATGTACACTATCGATGTGTTTACATTAAGAAATCATCTGTTTCTGACTATATTTTCGTATGTCGAGTATTTGTCTGACAAAAAATGGTTGAACAGGTCATGTGGACATTTTCCTTGTATTTGGAAGCTGTCGCCATACTTCCTCAGCTTGTAATGTTGCAACGGACTAGAAATATTGACAACTTGACCGGACAATATGTGTTTCTCCTCGGGTAAATTTAAACTTCCACCTTATGCTATAATATTCCTAATCAGTTGCAGGCTTCCTGTAATTTTGTCACCTTGCATGAAGTACCCTTACTTCCTGGCTTTCATTTCCCTACAATATTGCCTCCTTCCATTTTAATTTAGCAAGAAAAGTTGATATCGTGTCGGACCAAAGTTTTCGTTGATCTCGAAATTCATGTCCCTTTAGCCTTTGGTTCTTTTGGCTTGTTTTCCCCTTTTTCCCTGTAGTTATTGGAAGGAATTTGGAGAGGAAAACCATGGTAGTTGGTACATGTTTTTTTCTTTTCCCAAGGTACCATGATATGTGTGCATTTTTTGTCTTTTCAAGTCATTAACTTCTATATGTTTAATTCTCGGTTAGGTACTAATATTGTTCCTTCTCATTGCAGTGCATACAGAGCATTGTACATATTGAACTGGATTTATCGATACTTTACTGAAGAGCATTTTGTCCACTGGATAAGTATGTCTTCTCTCTCTCTATCTTCCTCTTTGTCTCAGTCATAGGTGTATGAGGAATGCTCATATCGATATATATATATATATATATATATATATATATATATATATATATATATATATATATATATGTGCGTGCATTTGCGATATTTAATGTTATATATGTTATTTCGAACAAGTTCATATGATTGCTTTTTTTTTTCAGCTTGGATTTCAGGGCTTGTCCAGACATTGTTGTATGCTGATTTCTTCTACTATTACTTCCAGAGGTAAAACACCTATATCACTCAGAAAACCAGTTTACCATGGGACGGAAGTTCCTTAAAAATTTTCAAATTATCATATATTTTAGATAGTTTCTTTTTATTTTCTATTGATAATATATTTTCGCCCTCTGACATTAATTTGATTATTATGTCTATATCTGCAGCTGGAAGAACAATGTGAAGCTCCAATTGCCAGCTTGAGAATCTAATGGTGCAAGGTTGTCAGTAGCAAGCATAGATACCAGTGCTTGATATTCAAAGTTAGGGTAACCTACATAAACTGTCCCCAACTTTTAGGACGTTCGCATTTTAGTTGTCAAACTATTAAAACCTACAATACAATCACTTCACTTTTAGGAGATTGTTTAATTTGTTTTAAAATGGACTACTTTTTTAGGTCACATGTTCTATTCCCACAACCTTTAAAAACATATTAATTTTTAAAACCAATAGAGGTAACAATGCGTTAACATAGGCATCAAAATAGAATGATAATGATAGTGTGAGGGTTGATATAGAATGCCTTAAAGTTAAAGGACTAATTTAAAATATGGGTCATAGTTTGGGAATTAATATAAAATATTTTAAAATTTGTAAATTAATTTAAAATAAGAGCCATAGTTTACTAATAAAAAATATACTCTTATTTCATCGATATTTTAGGTCATAACAATGATGATTGAATTTATTTTTATGCTATCAAGACTTGGTCTCCTATTTCTAAAATTGAGAATCTAAACACTCATATGACTATTCACATATTCACTCTTTTTAATGAACACAACAATTGTTTAAGGCCTAAATTCCATATCTACACACTTTTTAAGTGTGACAAGGGATGTGAATATAACTCTCTTTCATTCGTCATCTGATTTGATTTGAATTTAGAAAAATTCTATCTGATCCGATTTTTAAAGTTAAAAATCACATTCAATTTGACACAGATATATACATGTATAATTTTCATTTTATTAGTTAAAATACATAATTGATTGGAAAAAAATGGTGAGAGGAGTATTATAATAATTATCCGTAAATATATAAAGCTTAATTATGCTATTATTCATGAGTTGAGTTGGGTATTTTTCACCTTAAATTCAAATATGAGCTACACTTAATTTTTCAACAACAACAAAAGTTATACTTATAAGATCATATCGAATAAAAACCTATCGTATTCAAATTAAATACGCTAAACCTAATAACAATTCACTATAAATAAATGCAAATGAAATTTATAAGGAAGCTACATGAAAATATATTTGGCAACAAGAAGTAATACGATGAAAAGAACTTAATAACCTGAACCACACGATTCTTTGTCCAACTCACACTTTCGTCCAAAGTGTTGACCACAAAATGACAACCCAAAAGACTAAATTTTACTTAAATTTATAATCAATATAATTTAAATATTTTTTAATTTAAAAAATAATTTTATTAGGATATATTATTTACTAATATAAATTTCAAGTTATATTAACAATTCATTAATGCATTAACTATAAAAGCTTTTAACAAATTCATATACTTAATATTATTATCTCATAAAATATTTTAATTTTATCCATTGACTAGGTCATACAATGATATCATATCAAAAGTTATAAACTCTACTTGTTTTGCTGTGTAAAACTTCATATATGAACGTAGGAATGAACTGAGGGGTCACTGAGATGGTTAATGATGTAAATGTAATTATTTGAATTTATAATTTTTAAAGAGAATAATATTTTTTTAAACATCTAAATCATTTGATAATTTTATTCTTAAAATTTTCAAAATTCTTTTTTTAGTATAAAATATTGTGTCAGTTCTGCATAAATATTAACTATCATATTTTATTTTTCTATGTCAAGTTCAAGATTATCCATTCCCATGTGAACGGCTAGTGGTTTTCTTGAGTGTAAAATCAATCATAAATGCTTGAGAAAAAAATTGCAACGACTCGTACAGGAGAAGACTATTCTTTTCTCTACAAAGCTACAGGTTTCTACACGTTAGCCACAAAGTAAAAACTCATAGAATGGTCATTGGTAAATTCAAAAAAAAAAAAAATTAGATTTTATTATACTTACGATATAATTGATTTAATCACATCTAATATGAATTAATGAAAATATATTTATAAAAATTATTCAGCAAATAATTTATAGGTGAGGTGAAAAGAATTTATACATGAAATTAGTATTCTTGTATTTGAATCTTAAATAATAGTTTTCAATTGTTATATTAAAAGTTATGACAAGATAAACAAAATTCTTTCAATAATATTAATATCATTTAAAAGAAAAATATTTTAAGAAGAATAATGTAATTATCATACTCACACCTACCTTATATAAAAGTGAAATAATGAGATTATTAATTTCATTCCAAGACAACTTTGAGTAAATCCAAATAATTACAACTTCAAGAACAAACAAAAATTGTGTGACCAATCTTGTGTTAGCCTACTGATTGTCATGATCTACGAGTTAGAAGAACAATTGTTATTAATTATTTTTTTTAATTTAAGTTGAAAGTTTGAACCATAAAATTAATAATATTGGAGGGGTATAGAAATGCATATTTGTATTTAAAAAAATAGAATTCAAGAAATAGTCTCAGTAATAAAAGATGATATATTTTAAATGATTAAAGTTCGAATGGTATTATCTATAATATGTATGAATTTTATCTGGACTAGAAATATAACACTGGGTGATTCTGATGTGCGGAAATTAATTTGAGGTTAATTAAAAGAAATTTTCAATCTTATCTTTTTCATCTTAAAAAGTTATATAAATTTATAACATTCTCGATTATAACTAAAAATATTATGGAGAAAAATAATGTTTTCAGTTGTAATCGATTTCTGTCGTTTTTTAATCTTACATTAATATGTTTTATTTAAAAAAATCCACAAACACTAACATAAAACCAAATCAAAATATCCAAACAAATTAAAACTTCCACACGCTAACTACGGGGTAGGAAAGAACTCGTTGTCATCGTTGAAAGTTTGGGTCTTGATTTGTTTTTTTTTCGTGGAAAATTAAGTCTTGGTTTTGTCCTAGTAAACCACAACCTTTTGGACTCCATCTCTTGTATGTACGGATATTTGAATTTTCATTCACTCTCCTCATTCTTAATCAATTAGTTTTCTCGCATAAATGTTGTATTTAGTCACTCAATTTTTATTTTAGTTTCATTTTGGTTATTCAATTATTTTTTTACATTCATGACTAACATTATGTTTTGGTTTTATTTTGATCACATATCATTAAAAAGTTAACTATGATGTTGACGTGTCACCTTAAGGTAATGTCAAATCATCATTAAAAAATTTAAAAAAAAATGTAATTTTAACACTTCTGTTAATTTTTTAATGACGAATAACCAAAATAAAACCAAAACATAATGTTAGTGATGATTTTAAAAAATATATAATTAGATGACCAAAATAATAATTGAGTGGTTAAATAGGTAATTTATTCTAGTTTTTTATGAGTATTTAAACTATTATAAAATTATATAATTTTTTATTAATTTGGGATAAGTACAAAGCAATCCAATCATTTGACATTGAACGCTAATACTTCTATCATTCATGATGTTTGAACCCAAAGCCTAAAAAAATAATAACAATTATTTTATCACAGAGATGACTTGATTCATGCATATAATTATAAAAATTATGTATTAATAATTTGTTTTGTGAAGATTTGATCCAATATTCATGTCACATTGATATTATGTTTTTTATGTTATAATAGTGTGAATTGATTATAAGATATTGTTTGTTCTTAATATTTTTTAGTCATCGACAATGAATATATATTCTACAAACGTAGTTGCTCGAACCTGAGACTTCTATAGATAATAAGTGATTGTTAATTTATTATTTTAAGTGTTGCAAGGAGCATATTATGGTTAGGAATGATAACGAGCCAAATTAAGTGGTTTTTATTGACTCGATCTTGATCTGACATTAATTATAATAATAAAATTAATTTTCATACATGAGTACTTTTCATGAATAGTGATTTTCAAAATTTTGATAAAATTACGAAACTTCATCTTCAGAATGTTTTTAAAATTCTGGAAAAGGTCTCCAAACGGCTATAATTCATCTCCAAACGACTATAAATGGTTACAAACTTACTCCTCACCATAGAAGCAACTTAAGAACACTTCAAGAAGATTATTACACCTCTTCAAGCTAAAAGATCAAGAGAAAATATTCTTTATTCTTTCATTTTCTCTTGTAAGAATTGTATTAGGTTTTATTGTATATCTTTTCATTTCATTCTTTGTGAGCTCAATTTTATAAAATACCCACTCAGAGAGATATCCATTGTTTACACAAATCAAACCTTGTAAAATGGAGAGGTTCTAGTTTTGCTTTAGAAAAAGTAGATTGGTTCTATGTTAGCCGTTGTAAAATATAAGAAGAGATTTCTATCTAAGTCTTTAAAAAAATAATGTTGTAAAGATTAAACATTGTCCTCGAAAGGTTCATTTCAGGTTAATGAATTGATAAATCCTTAGTGGTGGAAAGTTAAGGTAGTGGATGTAAACTTTGTTTGATAAAGTTAAACTATTTTATATCGATTGTGCCAAAAGTTTTAATTTTTGTTCAAACTTCCACCAAATTTTCTAAAAGTTAATTCATCCACTCTTAACAAATTTTTGATTGATTGATCGAGCTAACAATTAATATCAAAACTAACGCTAACTTGTAATATATATATTCATAAAATGGATAATTTTGTAACTATCTTGGGGGTGGATTCTCTCAAAATTCAAATCCAACCCAATTAAAATCAACCAATAGCTTAAGAAAAAATCTAACGCCATCCAAAATGTGAATTTTATAAAAAGAAAAAAAAAACTCGAACCTATCAAATCAATTACAAAATTAAATATAATATTTTATATTAAAAGTATTATATTTATTATTATTTTTAAAAATCTAATTAGAAAATAACGTGATGCATCAGTACTATTATCATCATTTTATTACGTTAACTATCAGCTTTCGCAGTCGAGGATCTGACCTGAGGTCAAGTTCAATGAATCAATGTCCTCAAGGTGGTCTACGCGTTAGTCCCGACCTATAGAATACTTTTCAAAAGAATACTTTTCAAAAGGAACTATTAATTTAATTTTGTTAAGGGTTGACCTAAAGTCAATGGTTCATTTTATTAGCAGGGATGCCTTGTCTATAAATAAAAAGGTTGAACAAGGCTTATTCAAAGTATATCCCTACAAGTTAAAAGTAGAGATATGGTGATGGAGTTTAAATGGCTATTGTTTATTAGGATAGCAGTGATGAGTGTGTTTTTGCTGTTGGAAGGTACTACTTATGCTTGTTTGGAGCATGAGAGGATTGCTCTCTTGCAACTCAAACCTTTCTTCAATCATTACGACGAACTAGTCGACTGGGACAAGCCGAAGGGCTCCGATTGTTGTCGATGGAAAGGGATCGAGTGCAACACCACCACGAGACGACTGGTCGGACTCACCCTTAATTCCACAAGGGATAGTAGCGAGGGTTGGTATCTCAATGCCTCTTTGTTTCTTCCCTTTGTGGGGTTGAAGAGACTCTATTTGAGAGGGAATGCCATTGCTGGTTGCATTGAAAATGAAGGTCGTGCCTTTTATTTTTCCTTAATTTTATAGTTTTCAACCCAACTCTTTGTTAATTTACAATTTGGTCGTCAACAAATATTTTTAACATTTAATTAAATCATTTTGATCCTTATTTTTCTCAAAATATTTTAACTCCTAATGTTTCACTTTGTGACAAAATATATCTTGATTGGAGGAAAATCATTAGTTGATAAATATTCATGTTTATCATTGACATGATATTATCATGTGTCTAAAATAATAATATGAATTATGACATATTATTAGTCAACTAACATTTTTTATCTAATAATAAATATTTTATTTGGGAATAAAAAGCTACTAACTCTTTCTAGGGCGATCTTGCAGGTTTCGAAAAGCTATCATCTGCGTTAGGTAACTTGGAGATTCTTGATTTGAGTGTAAATCTCTTGAATGACAGCGTTATTCTACCTTTGAGTGAATTTTCATCACTTCGATATCTAAGTTTAGCATTCAATCAACTGGAAGGATCAAGTCATTCAAATGGTACATTTCACTAATCTAATAAAATATCAATCAAATTATATGAAAATAAAATATTGTTATTTATTTGTTTGTTAATTCATATTAATATTTATCAGGTTTCCGATGGTTTTCAAGACTCCTTAACTTAGGAACTCTTGATTTAAGTTGGAACCCTTTAGGAAACGACATCATGTTCCAATTGAGTAGTCTTTCTTCCTTGAAGAATTTAAGTCTGAGATCCATTGATTTGGAAGGAGAATTGCTTCATATTCAAGGTAAATTGGTTTTACCTTCTTTGTTTTTTTTAAACTTTAAAGTCAATTTTATCTAAGAAAACAATTATTCAAACATATCATTGACGTATCATGAACATATGATTAATTAGTATTTGAGATTGAATGCAGGGTTGAATAATTTGACAAACTTGAGATATTTGGACTTGAACTCCAACAGCATCGAAAGCATCTTAAACAAAGGTAAAGTATAGTTTAAATGAATTAAATTTTCAGATTTCAATGATAGTAACTAAAAGAATATATTTCAACGATAGATGAAACACAACTGAGGCTAGCAAACCTGGAACGACTTGATTTGAGTGCTAATTTCTTTCGGAACACACTGTCCTTCCTTGAAGGACTTTCAGGCCTAAAGTCCATAGATATCGAACAACGATTTGCAAGGCTCATTATATGTTGAAGGTAAAAAAGCTATAACCTTTTCTTCTTGCTAATTCTTTTTAACATTATAAACTATTCAATATATTTTAAATTCACTAACATAATGATTCATTGTATCAAACTTTGATATATACAGACTTGAATCATTTGATAAATTTAAAGGTGTTAGATCTGAGCTCGAACAAAATCGAAAGCTTTCGATCCTTCAAAGGTATACATTTATATTTGATCGGTTTAAGTAAGTTGAATATCATTATATTCTGTGCAAATCCTTTTCATTGATGTGAATCTTTTGTAGAAGATGGTACGGAACTGAAGTTGAGCTTTTTAGAAGAGCTGTATTTGTATGACAATCTCTTCGATACAAGCGTATTTGCATCACTTAATGGGTTTCCAAATCTGACATATTTGGACATAAGTAACAATGAGTTGAAAGGGTCATTAGATATGAAAGGTAAAATTATTTTCTTGTAATCAAAATCTCAATTCTATTAAAATGAAGAGTTAAGATGATATAATGAAGTTTATCTGGGTACTTCTCTTTTCTCAGATTTGGATGCATTTACGAGCTTAAAGGAACTATATATGAGGAGAAATCAATTGGAAAATTTTGTGATCCACAAAGGTATCATTTAAATACAATTTTCTTTTTTTTATAAGAATGGCTATCCTTTTATATTAAATGATAATTGAGTAATACGAGAGTTGATAGTTAATTAGTTGAAAGTCTTTGAATATATATTACCTTATATTTATCTCATATGTATATAAAAAAAATAATTGAGTAACCTACTTATTTGGTCACTCATCTATTGTTTAATTTTTGTTTTGGTCACTCAATTATTATATTCCTTAAAGTTCTACCTAACGTTACATTTTGGTTCTGACCAAAGGGTAAATATGTATTTAGTCACAGAACTATAATATTGGTTTCGTTTTGGTCACCGATTGTTTTTAATCATCACTAATGTTACATTTAATTTCATTTTGGTCACCTGTCATTAAAAATTAATAGTGATGTTGATGTGTCATCATTGAAGATAAATTAAAAAAACACCAAATCATCAGTTATGTTAATTTTTTAACGAAGAATGACCAAAATGAAATCAAAACATCATGTTAGTGACGATTTTAAAAAAATAGTTGGATGATCAAAACGGGACCAAAGTGATAGTTGAGTGACTAAATACTTAGTTTATCCAATATTAATGGTGATGTTGACGTATCATCATAAAGTGATGTCACATCAATATTAAAAAATTAAAAATATTATGTCAACGTCACTGTTAATTTTTTTAACGGTGGGTGATCAAAACTTACATTAATAAGTATGATATTGGAAAAAAATAGTTAAGTGACCAAAATATAAACTAAGTAATATGTGGTAACCAAATAGGTAGTTATCCAAGAGAATTGTCTATAAATATTTTATAATTTTTTTCAGGATGGTGTGATCTAAAGAATCTAGAAGTGTTGGATCTGAGTTGGAATGCATCAAGGGAATGTTCCCACATTGTTTGGGTAACTTGACATCTCTCCGTGAGTTAGATATCTCCAACAATCAATTTTCTGGAAATCTCTCTCCTTTACAAACCTTAACTCACTTACATACATCTCTCTCAAAAAACCGTCTTCAAATTCCAACATCATTTGTACCACTTGTAAACCTTCCAAACCTCAAGTTCCTCTATGGTGATGAAAACAACATGGTAATGGAACCTTCATTGCATACCTCAATCCCAAAGTTCCAGTTGAATGTCATCAGTGTCAAAGTGCATAACATCTCAAGAACTCAGTGTTGAATCTCTTAACTTTCTTCATATCAGTATGATTTGAGATATGTGATCTTTTTGGAACAAATTCAGTGGAAAACTCCCAATTTGGTTGTTGGAAAACAACACAAATTTGGAATATTTGATCTTGAGAGGTAATGCTTTTTCTGGTTCTCTTTCATTACCATCAGCTCCTAATTTAATGTGTCTTCATGGACATATCTGATAATGAATTACGAGGTCGGATTCCTTTGATATATGTTCGACTTTTCCGAATTTGAGACGGTTGTTCATATCCAAGAATGTCATTGAAGGTGATATCCCTCCTTGTTTAAGTGACTGAAGAATTTATCAGTTTTGGATTTGGCAAACAATCAGTTGTCTGGAAGAGTACCAGAAGAGTTGATCATTAAGAACACAATGAGGATTCTGAGGTTATCGAATAATAATCTCACCGGAAATGTAGTTCTGCAATTCTCAACGCAAATGGATTGAAGAAATTATTTGGATGGGAATAATTTTTCTGGTGAGATGAAAGGTACTAATGTTTCTACTGTTGAGTTTATGACTTCATTAGTGGAAATTGATCTCAGTAACAATAAGTTGATAATGGAGTATGGAAACGGTTCGATTCCGATGGAATTCTGCAACTTGAATGCATGTCCACCTGCATGAAAATAGACTGAGTGGTCCATTGTCACTTGATTTTTGTAACACTGATTCATTAGTGACATTAGATCTTTCTCAAAACAATTTATCTGGGAGTATTCCGAAATCGATTAGCACACTTTCTTCCTTAAGTGTTCTTCTCTTGAAATCTAATCGTTTACACGGCCGAATTCCGGATGAATTATGCATGTTGCAGTCCTTGAGCATCATTGATCTTTCTCAAAACATGTTTTCTGGTCGTATACCTTCTTGTTTGGGGAATTTAACTCTTCCAATTCAAGAGGACAAGATTCTAACTCAAGGTGTGTTTTTCGAAGAAGACGAACCGACGATCTTTTGGACATCGAAATTGGGAAGAAGGGGTACAGATGATGATGAGTATCCAAGCAGCTACATCGAAGAATCTATAGAGTTCACAACAAAGAGTGCATCCTTATCATATAGTGGCAAAATCCTTAATATGTTAGCTGGGTTTGATTTATCCTGCAACAAGTTAACCGGTCGAATTCCGCCCGATTTTGGAAACTTGAGCCAAATCCATTCTTTAAACTTGTCACACAATAACTTGATCGGAGTTATTCCTTCGTCATTCTCTAATCTTAAGCAACTTGAGAGCTTGGACCTTTCTTACAACAACTTGGCTGGTAAAATCCCAAATCAGTTGGTAGAATTGAACTCTTTGGAGGTTTTCAGTGTGGCGCACAACAACTTGTCAGGTAGTATTCCTGAACAAAAAGCTCAATTTGGGACCTTTGATGAAAGCAGTTACGAGGGTAACCCTTTTCTCTGTGGACCTATGATACATAAAAGTTGCTCGAAAACTGATCCACCTTCAACCGTATCGACCGCATCAAACGATGAAGAAGAAGATAGCTTGCTAGATATGTATGTTTTTCGTGTGAGCTTTCTGGTGTCTTATGCGGTTATGTTGTTGACAACTTTTCTTGTACTCTACAATCCATATTGGCGAAGAGTTTGGTTTTCTTTCGTCGAGATGTGCATCACTGCCTGTCGATACTCGACCGTCGTCAATTTCCTTGCAATCTACATCTTCAGGAGATCTGTTTAGCTGTCACGAAGATTTGAGCAAAGTTGGTTTCTGTTGTATGTGATTGTTTTCAGTATCTTATTTGTTTCGAAGTTTGACTAAAGCTCTTGTGTTTTAGCCTGTGTTTTGTTGGTTTTAATGAAATTTCAAGTATGATTGTAATCAGCTATTATATATATGGTTTACCAATAAAGTACGCAGTTCTATGTCTGTGTCCATGTCTAACTCACACTTTTGGTTCAATTGTTAACTACAAAATGACAACACAAAAGACCAGAAGCATTTTTTTAACGTATCACGTCAACTTGAGTGACTATAGTTAATGATTCAGTGATCAAATTATAATAAATCGATAACGTAAGTGATCAAAACATAAATCTTAATTTCAATAATAAAATTACACAATCAAAACAAAAGTGATCACAATTGTAGCTTACCTAATAAAATATTGCAAAGCTTTATGCAGACATTTCCAAACAATAAACTATTTTCCAAATCTAATCAACTTTCGATAAACATTGTATTCCAAACAATAATAACGATCAAATATGCTCATCATCAGAAATCTGAAAAATCCAGTGTGATTATGATTATGTAAACAACAAAAAATGTGATCTTTTCAGGTTTCTTTCTTATAAAAAGGGGTTGGTCAAAAATCCGCACCCGTGCCGTGTGTGTGAAGAAAACTGGGTTGTTCATTTATATCGTATTAAATAACTAATTACAGTTGATCCAACAAAATCAAAATTCAGGTATCGATATATTCTGAAGATTGGACAGACCTTAGAAGCTCCTTCAAATTTGCCAGAACATGTCGCGGTCCTAAACTCTTGACCCCAATGAAATTCAAAAGTTGCTCTACATCCTGCAAATATAACGACGATTTTGCATTCATTTCATAATGAATATCTTAACAACCAAAAGACAATTACAAGACCACACAACTCGACAATTTTTTTTTGCTGAAAGGAACATGATCTCATAATGAATATCTTACAACCAAAGACAATTACAAGACCCAACAACTCGACAATTTTTTTTGCTGAAGGAACATGATCTTGCTCAGACTCATTTTCTTTAAATATTTGTGTCTTACAATTTTCGGACATGGATTTGAGGATGTTACCGAGTGAAAGTAACATAGTTTTTAGCTATGGGGAAGGGGATTTAAGTGCCAGACCTTCTAATAGTAGTAAGATAGGCTATCACATATTTTTCAAATTATTGATAATCCTTCATCTCATCTGACGGTGAAGTTTATAGATAGTCTTAACATTCCATCCTAAGAAACTAGATGTGGTAAATCCAATATCTACCGAATAATTCAACCATGATTATAATAATAATGAAGATGATGATGAAGGATGACTAGTCCCTATCAATGACATGAAAGCTGCAGAGCAAACAAGCACTCTTTTTTCCAAGATGTGGATTGAAGATCATGGACATGCCAACTTGGCAGACCATTTGAATCCAATAACATAAATATAAATGCAAAGTAAATAATTCATCCCGGAAGAAAAATGATAATATGTGAACACTCACCTTGTTTAACAAGAATACAGCATATGCTGCTCTTGTTGTGTCTTGACCATCTAAAAACAGTGGAAATTCTGCTTGCTTTACATTTGCTGAAAACGCTGTATCTGGTGACAAATCAGAAGATGCAGGCTCTACTGAGGCACAGGATCGATAATATATGAGCGAGAACCACCCAAGCGAAGTGGAAACGCAAAGGAACTTGTAAATAGGATGCAATTAGTGGAACAGCTGCAGGCGAGGAAATAAGGGGAAATGAGAAGGAAATTACACATGAACAAGACTAAGCCCAAGATATTATGTTTACATCATAGCAATCTAAAATTACTATTGCATCTTAAAGCAACAACAGATTGCAGGAAGTAGGAAGAAAAAACTTGATGTATAAAGCTTGATATTATTAAGAAAAAGGATCATTTCAGTAATAAAAGATAACTTTAGATTATGCAGAAGCAATGGAACGCACATGTGCAACATATCCTAATGCACTTGCAGATCTCTGAACCTCCTTTTTTGTTGTTGAAAAAGCTCATCTTTGTAAAAGGAAGCATGAGATTCAGACCTAAAATCGTCAAGGACCTTGACTAACAGGCTTAGATGCAGAAGAATTCCCTAGTGACGACAGCAACAGAAAGAAGTTAGTATCAATACATTAGCAGGCAACACCATTTTGTTGGAGTCAAAAGTGTAACCATGAAAGCAAAAGACGTCCAAAATTTCACAATATTCAAGACATTCAAGTGTTTATGTCATGTTCGTGTTATTTTGTTTTTATGCCATGCTTTAATCAGTTTTCCATGCGTTTGTGTCATATAATTGTATCATTCTAATATAGATAGGTCTAATCTAAGTAAAATAACATATTGGAACAATCATATAGGTCTAATATAGCCAGGTCTACGTACTCAAACCATTTTGGCATCCAAATCTCAAGAACAAGGGGAGAGTGAAGAGTACGAAATATAAAAATCATAACTCTGGGTTTTCGACGATAAATAGGAGACGGTAAACATTAATTAAAAATATCGGAATAAACCACGAGCTAAATAGGAAAGAGAATTGTTTTCTAAATCAGGAGATTGACTGCCAATTAAAACTATATGTTGGGCCTTCTTTGCAAAGGTTTAGCAATCCAAAACTACTAGAACATTACCTAATCTACTACTGCTAGAATAGGACTCAAGTTCTTGCTCTTGTGCAGGTCCAACCAAGACCTTTACAGGATAGAGTAATGAAACTTGTGATATCATATATTGTTGCCTTGCTCGAAGCTTCCTTTGCACATTTTTAAGTTTAACATAACCCCTTCTTCAGTGAGTAATCTATTTGCTTCCTGTAATAAAAACAACAGATTATCAATCATGCCAGCATGAAAGACTAAAACTAATTATCTGAAAAGGAGGAAAAGATGAGGGAGTGCAAGAAGGGGATAACCCTTGACTATTCAAAGGAATTCATAGAATGAGAAAGGTCTCCATTTAAGCCCCTCATCCACCTTCACACAGGGTGAATGGGAGAAGGATTTATAATATCTAAAACTTAATAAAAGATCACTTCAAAAATATCATAAATTCAACATTCCCGATGATAAAAATGGAACACTAAAGCTAATTGACATTTTAAATAAAAAAAAACTTCACCTGCAATCGCTTCCTTGCTACAGAAAGAGAGGTACCAGCAACCAACAACGATCTCACTTCAGTGCTAAGCATTTCCTCTTCTTTTTTAGCATCCTCCGCCGTACGTTTGCTACGAGTTGACATGTTTGCCATCACTAGTTTCCTTGCCTCTAGTCTCTCATGCATTTCCTCAAGCCCATTCAGTTTATTCAAGACTTAGTTTTGACCTTCATAGCAAGTTCCAGTCCGTTTAATCAGTGGACCAAGTAATTAGGCCCATGCTATCAAATCCAGAGAGTGAGTGTGGTGCAAGAAAATAAATTTAAATAGCTCACCAGGTCCTTCAAGTGTCATATGGCTTGATCAATTCAACTTTTCCTATCTACTAAAACTAAAATGAAAAGAGAAGAAAGCAAATGCAATTCTTAAACAGCTTCAATGGCATGTTTACATTACAATGAAACAATTTAAGGGACCTAAAATGGAAAATGGAAGGGGAAAAAGCATCTGAAAGGAAGAGAAAGAAATTGAACAGAAACAACGAATCTATCAGGTACAAAAGGATAGAAATCTTGAAAAGGGGGAAAACAATACATCTATTTAGTCAAATTAAGCTCAGGCATCCAGCAAATAAAGAACTGCCATTTCATTTTTGACACAGCAGAAAAGAACCAGATATTCTCAATCTACTAAAACTAAATGAAAAGAGAAGAATGCAAATGCAATTCTTAAACAGCTTTCAATGGCATGTTTACATTACAATGAAACAATTTAAGGGACCTAAAATGGAAAAATGGAAGGGGGGAAAAGCATCTGAAAGGAAGAGAAAGAAATTGAACAGAAACAACGAATCTATCAGGTACAAAAGGATAGAAATCTGAAAAGGGGGAAAACAATACATCTTTTAGTCAAATTAAGCTCAGGCATCCAGCCAAATAAAGAACTGCCATTCAATTTTTGACACAGCAGAAAAGAACCAGATATTCTCAATTTCCAAAAAACCAGGAATAAGAGTGAAAAAAATATATTATTTTCCTAAAGAAATGAAAAAAAAAACAGCACAAATAGTAAGTAAATGAAGCATAAGGGAACTGAGTGAATCAACAATCTTATTTTGGTACTAAAAAGATACAAAGATAGAATATTCAAATTTGTCAAGGGAAAAGTTTCATTCACCAAGACAACGATCATCTCGCTTTATCCCAGTAAAGCCTAATTGAAAAAAAAATCTATGCTAGTATTCTTTCTGGAGCATTTGAGCAACCCAACAGAAGTCATAATATGCCAACCTCTGAAATGATTGGCTTTACCAATTCACAACCTATACTGCCCAACCTAGTAAATAATTTAGGTACAGACACCAGAAATCTATTTTCTTTGTGCTCCATGACTAAATAGCCTACAGTTATCAATCAAACACAGAAAATAAACCATTGTATCAACTGAAATACTATAACTTCATCCTCTGATTCGTAGTTTGTCAGGTTTAGGGAATCGATACATGTAGCACATACCAACACGATTTGTTCGATAGAGAACTGTGATCCATATCACATATCAGTTCCATAATGAGAGGTCAAGTAGCAAATTAGGTAAACTATGATCCTACTATCTTCCAGAATAGCAACAATGAGCATAAAACTAAAATTGTAGCTTTCTTTCTACAATAACTTATAAAATTATTAAACATTACAACTTAAGAATCTAGAGAGAAAAAAACTTTCTTCCAATAGTTGATCGCTTGATCCATTATTATAGAAAGTTTCTTCTTCTTTTCCTTACCCCTATTTCTAAATCAGGAAGAAAAAATGGCAGATAAACCGGATTACTACTCCAAGCTTCTAAAATTTCAGCAATGTCCCCTTTACCTTTTCACTCAAGTCACTACTTCCAAATCAACAAACAATATTCCACTTTTCCTTTTACTTCAAAACCCTCTTTTCTCTCTACAAATTCAGCTTGTATTCAAAAACCCAAATTTGATTTGCTAAAAAAACATATTTCTCAAGAAAAAAAATTAACCAAATTTAATCAAAAAAATCATTACCTGAATGAGCGACAGGAGTTCTCTTGAAGACTTTGCTTCTTCTCATTAGCTTCCTTAAGGGCAGAACTTAAACTCCACAATCTAGCTAGCTCGTTCTCGAATCTTCCCATTCAATTACTTGCACTTATCATGTGCGGCATTGATTTGTTTCGGGCCGGTAATTAGGGTTCTGTCTCGATCTTCCATTCAATTACTTGCACTTATCATGTGCGGCATTGATTTGTTTCGGGCCGGTAATTAGGGTTCTGTCTCGATCTTGTTGTTCTCGATTATCCATGAAAGAATTGAAGAGGAAAGCTTTCGATTTTGTAAGTTAAAAAAGAGGTCATAGATCGACCTCATGGTACTGCTTCACGCCCGGTTAGAGTTCTTTTTTCACGAGGATCGAATCATTTTTCTTGGGGAAATTTGCTTACGAGGTTAATTTTCTCGGGAAAATGCAAGGGGAAAGAGAAAACAGTTTTGGGTGTTTTTTATTTGAGGACGGAGAATGACAGGTGGCGGTGAACGGACGATTTTCCGATTCATGTTATTTCACTTTCAGATTGAGAAATTGCATTACAAGTAGGATTCCATTACCCGTTGGGCAAAAAAAATTATTTTTAAAAATTTTAAAAAAAATTAAAAAATATTTTTAAAAAAAAAATTAAAAAAATCAAATACTAAGAAAAATTTTAAAAATAATGAATTTTTAAAAAATAGAGAAAATAATAGAAGTGGAGAAAATGAGTGATATGGTTTTAATTTAGTGAAAATTAAAATTATTAGTCTCTTTATAAACTTTTATTTTTATATTAAATATTAAATATTCTTTTAACTAAATCGATGATACTTTAATTAAATTGCACTAAATTAAATTCAATTAAAAATTATAAAATTATACTTTGATTAATGACCATAGTTATAATTGACACTTCTTTAATTTTGATAATGGAACATAAAGATTAGGGTAAATGTATAAATGGTCACTAAACTTATTAAAATAACCTTTTTGTCATTTAAGCTATAAAGATATAAATGATCATTAAACTTCTCAAATGATATATAAAATAGACATTAACATTTATTAAACTATTAAAAAATTGACATTAAACATATCAAAAAGTTATAAATAATCCTTAATTATATTAAAATTTATCATTGTTTTATAAGAATATTAATTATTTTATAACAGTTTGATAAATTTAATAATTATTTATAATTTTCAAGACTTTAGTAGCTGAAAGATTTTTCAACATAGTTTTAGTGACTATATGTGTATTTTATCCTAAAGACTATGATTTTATGAACGTATCCCCACAGCCTATTAACAACAGTTCAAATGAAGTCTTCGTCTACTCTTCGAACGACACACTTCTCCCGCTAAAACCAGCTCTTCTTCCTTCAAATTCAAACACCCAAGCTTCCGTCTCTAATGGCGCTGATTCATCACAACAATCATCATCTCAAGATCCCCTCAAAACCCATTTCGCATCTCTCATCAAATCTCCGAAACCACCCTCCAACTCCGCCAAATCCACGCCCAAATCCTGCGGCCGCCACATCTCTTCCAGTGCAACCTCACCACTCTCTTAATCTCCGCTTCTTCTTCACTCAAATCCACCCCTTATGCCTCGCCGTGTTCAACAATTCCGACCACAAAAGCTTATTCCTTTTCAATGCTTGATCCGTGGTTTAACGGAGAATTCCCATTTCCAATCCTCACTATCCATTTTCTTCTCATGTTGAGACATAGAGTTCGTCCTGATAAACTTACGTACCCTTTCGTGATCTCCATTTTCTCATGTTGAGACATAGAGTTCGTCCTGATAAACTACGTACCCGTCGTGATCAGATCTGTGGCGGGGGAGGGTCTTCGTGCCTTGGCCTGATCCTTCATGAAGAATAATCAAATCCGGGGTAGAGTTTGATACGTTCGTTCGGGTTTCATTAGTGGAAATGTATGTGAAACTCGAGGAAATGGGCCTTGCGTTGCACGGTTTGATGAAAGTCCTGAGAACAAGAGCGAGAGTATACTGTTGTGGAATGTGTTGATTAATGGGTGTTGTAAAGTGGGGAATTTAGGGAAAGCTATGGAGCTTTCGAAGCTATGCCTGAGGAATATTGGTTCTTGGAATAGTTTGATAAATGGGCTTATGAGGAATGGGGATTTGACCAAAGCAATACAGCTTTTGATGAAATGAAGGAAAAGGATGTAGTTCTTGGACTAAATTGTTAATGGATATCAAAGAACGGGGATCATCAGAAGGCCTTGTCTATGTTCTTTAAGATGCTGGAGGTTGGTTTGAGGCCTAATGATTTTACTCTTGTTTCGGCTCTTTCGGCTTGTGCTAAAATCGGTGCAATCGAGCCGGAGTCCGTATCCATAGGTATACTGTGGAAAATGGGTTTCAGTTGAATCAAGCAATTGCTACTGCATTGGTTGATATGATTCAAAGTGTGGAAATATTCAGTCTGCTAGCAAGGTTTTTGAAGAAACAAAAGAGAAGGACATTCGTACCTGGAGTGTCATGATGGGGCTGGGCAATCCATGGATGTTATGGGCAACTTATCCAATGCTTCAAAAATATGATTTTTTCAGGTGCGATTTTAGGAATTTTCATCGAGCTCAAATCTTAATTCTAACCTTTCTGAATAAACTCAAATTTGTCATGTTTGCAGGAATAAACCTGATGGGGTGGTCTTTCTAGCCCTCCTGACCGCATGCTCACACACTGGGCTAGTAGATCTTGGGCTTAACTTCTTTTCCAGCATGAGGCTCGATTACTCGATTGAGCCTACCATGAGCATTATACGTTGGTCGTTGATTTGTTAGGCAGGGCTGGCCGACTTAATGAAGCCATGAAGTTCATAGAAAGGATGCCTATACTTCCTGATTTCGTGACATGGGGAGCACTTTTCTGTGCTTGCAGAGCTCACAAAAACATTAAAATGTCAGAACTAGTGTCACAGAAGCTCCTCCAGCTTGAGCCTAAACATCCCGGGAGCTATGTTTTCATGTCAACGTTTACGCTGCAGTTGGGAGAGGGAAGATGCGGAGAGAACAAGAATGGCAATGCGGAGTCGAGCTGTCGGCAAAGATCCAGGGTGGAGTTCTATCGAAGTTGATGGACAAGTCCATAGTTTGCCGGTGATCATGCTCATAAGCATGCGAGAGAAATATACCTGAAACTAGAGGAAATAGTGGTCGGTGCAAGAGAACAAGGATATATGCCTGAAACCGGGTGGGTACTTCATAATATTGAGGAAGAAGAGAAGGAAGATGCATTAGGAAGTCACAGTGAGAAATTGGCTCTTGCCTTTGCCTTAATACACACTTCTTCAGGGACAACTATCAGGATAGTGAAGAACTTGAGAGTATGTGGGGATTGCCATTCCCTGATGAAATATGCTAGTAAGATGAGCCAGAGGGAGATCGTATTGAGAGATATAAAGCGATTCCACATTTTCAAGGATGGAGTCTGCTCATGTGGAGATTATTGGTAAAATGGCAAGTAACAGCGACATTATCTGATTTGCTGTTCATGTAGCATGTGCTTATGATTGATGCAGTGCCAGTTAAGTTTTTATGGACTATTTCCTGCACACTTGATGTATATACCCATCTGGTTTTGGAAAGAATTGAAGACTTACTGCTCACTGTGCTGCTTGACACTTTGGCCATAGTGATGGGTTAACGACTCTCTTGACAGTCATCTGCCTTCTGAGGTGTTTAGGTGGTTGCATTTCCCTATATCTCGTTGATATTCGAGTTCTAGTCGAGTTTGAATTTAAATGTTCAAATATGTATTTAGTCTTTAGTTCCACCAAATAATTTTATTGTTCTGTGATGTGATCCCCTTTTAACTTTAATTCCGCTTTTTAATAATATTTTTATTTTTACAATTTAATCTTTCGATTACAACTCTTTACAAATTCTTTTTTCTCTGAAAACTCTAATATAAAAGAAACAGTGTCCATGTTCCTTGTTTCCTGTGTGGCTTCAGACTAGGGATGGCAATGGGTTGGGTCGGGTCAGGTCGGGTTTTTGGGCCACCCGACCGAGAAGAAAGGGTTTTCACCCGTTGACCCGACCCGACCCGACGAAATTAAGGTTTCACCCGACCCGACCCGACCCGAATATATGACTTAGAAACCCGACCCGACCCGACCCGAAATAATAATAAAAAAATTTTATTCAATGAAACAGTGACTTAATTGAAAAAAATTATATATGGAGGGACATTATTGTAATTATCCCTAAATATATAGGATAAATTATATATATTTTCGGGTCGGGTCGGTCGGATTTTTTTCACCCTAAACCCGACCTGACCCGAACAGTACATTTTAAAAAAAAACCGACCCGACCCGATCCGAACCCGAATTTTTTTTTAAAAAATCCGACTCGATCAGTCGGGTCGGGTCGAAAACCCGTCGGATTCGGGTTGAGTTGCCATCCCTACTTCAGACATGTAAAATCAAACCCCATCATCATTTCTAAATCAACACCTAATTTCAGGATTCGTTGTCTTTACTTTCCTTCTTCTTGTTGTTTTTGTTGAACACTTGTTAATGGAATTTTCCATATGGCCTCGACCTCAAAGTATCTTATCTGTTTAGCTATATTACTGCGGTTGTTCGGTTGTGCGACGGTTAAAATAATATTAAAAATTGGTTGTGATAGATTAAAATTTAGATTGATTGTTGTTATTTAAACGAAAATATTATCAAGTAAAATAACAAATTAGATAGCGCTTATATAATGTAATAGGTAGCACTTATATAATAAAATAGGTTAATTACTGTAAACATTATTAAACATAATAACATATTAGGTAACACTTATATAATATAATAGGTAGTGCTTATATAATAAAATAGGTTAATTACTAGAAACATTATCAAGCACAATAACATATTAGCGCTTATATAATGTAATAGGTAGCGCTTATATTGACCTATTTTCTAACTAAACCGGTATATTTATACCGGTAACATTACAAATTTACATATTACATATAATTATGGTTTCGATATTTTTGGGATCGATAAAATTTTAAATGTATCGACACTTTATGTGTGCACCTCGTTGGGCATTCATTCTGAAAAAAAGTATTTACACTTTTTAAATTTGTGTCGATACATTATATTGACATATTCAATCATATAATCGGTATATTTATACCGGTTACATTGTAAATTTACATATTACATTATAATTATCGGTTTTGATATTTTTGGGATCGATACAATTTTAAATGTATCGACACTTTATGCGTGCACCTCGTTAGGCATTCATTCTGGAAAAAAGTATCGACGCAAACTTAAAACGTGTCAATACATTATGTAGACATATTTTCTCATAAAACCGGTATATTTCTACCAGGTACATTGTAAATTTACCTATTACATTGTAATTATCGGTTTCGATGTTTTTTGGATCGATACTTTTAATAAATGCATCAACACTTTATGTGTGCACCTCGTTTGGCATTCATTTTGGACAAAATGTATCGACGCTTTTTAAATTTGTGTTAAT